CTTCTCATTAAAGATATGGGACTGGCCCATTTGCGGGGGAATTCTTCCATTCTACATCTGGTATGTTTTATAAGGAAAATACACAGCACTCCGTTTTCTCCCGACTGTCATTTGGAGGACGAAGGAAGGGTTTCTTTCTGTCATCACACTTTGGTTTTGAGCAGAAAGAGGGAGGGCAGACTTCTTTGATATTTCTTATTTGCTTCCAGTTCAAATTACCCTCCTGACAAAGCAGTGGTTTTTTTGGAGGTAGCATACTCAGATCTCTTTTACATTATTATTATTATTAACATTTTGCTATTATTTATTAGTGTAGTTGTTGTTGGTGGTTTTTGAGACAGGGTTTCTCTATGTAGCCCTGTCTGTCCTGGAACTCGCTCTGTAGACCAGGCTGGCCTCAAACTCAGATATTCACTGCCTCAGTTCTCTGCCTCTGTTTGGATTAAAGGTGTGAGGCATGACTGACCAGCATCTTCCACATTCTTTAGAAAAGGTATTTCCATTTGGAAAACACCAAATTAATAAATAATCCATAGCTAACTTTGTTATACTCTCTCAAAAAGAATAAAACGTATGGTAACGAGAAGACACCCATGTTCATGAGGGTCTTTACCAGCAAAGACGAGCTAAAAACACCACTCTAGAAGAACAGATTGTCCATGTCTACAGCGGACTATTTAGTGAGAAACTGGTTAACATATGAATGTGTACGACTCCCTTAGGATTTGTGTTGAGATTAAGACAAAAGGATACATGCAGGTTTTATTGTTGTTTGGGGGTGGATGGGCGGAGCTAAACTCAGATTGGACTTGAATTGAACCCACAATCTTCCTGTGTCAGCCTCCTGAGTGCCAGGATTACGGCACTGTCGTTTAGCATCCATCAGGCACCCTCATCACAACTACTTGTACCTCCAGCTCCAGGGGATCCAGTATTGTCACGCCCCTCCCCGCCCCCCAGTTCCTGAGGGTGTACGTGGGCACTCACACACACAAATAAAACCCTTATTTTAAAGGAGACAGAAGAGCCACGCAAGCTCACTAGTGTTTTAAAAACAAGAATTCCTGGGCTGAGGGAACAAAATGATCCAACTATAGTAATTGTTTTAAAAGTGACCAAACTTGAGCGTGACGTGTGGTGAGGGCGCCCTCTGCTGGAGTCAGGCACAGCATTACACTCCCATCAAGCAATATCAAGGTCAGATACTAGAAGTAAATGCAGAGCAATTTTACTAGATAGTATTATCTATCTAGTAGAAATGGTTTTGCTTTGTGTCCTGGCTAGTTTTTATGTCAAATAGACACAAGCTAGAGTCATCCGAGAGGAGGGAGACTCAAGTGAAAAAAAAGTGTCTATAAAATCCAGCTGTAGGCAAGATTATAGGGCATTTTCTTTTTTAAAAAATATTTCTTCTTCTCTCATAAATTACACCTGACCAGTTTCCTCTCCCTCCTCTCCTCCTTGTCCCTTCCCTCCATCCCCTATCTCCCCCAGATCCATCCAGGGATATCAACCAGACACGGCATATCAAGTTTTGATAAGACGAGCCACAAACACTCATATTAAGGCTGTTTAAGGCAACCCAGTAGGGAAAGGGGTCACAAAAGCAAGTGAAAGAATCAGAGGCAGGATGTAGGACATTTTCTTAATTGGTGATTGATATGGGAGGGCCCAGCCCATCGTGGGTGGGATCACCCCTCGGCTGGTGGTCTTGGGTTCTATAAGAAAGCAGACTGACTAAGCGAGCCATGGGGAACTAGCAAGTAGGCAGCACTCCTGGGCTAGTGGTTCAGAGCACTGGCTGCTCTTCCAGAGGACCAGGGTTCAATTCCCAGCACCCGCATGGCAGCTCACAACTGTCTGTAACTCCAGTTCCTGGGTTAGTGGTTCAGAGCACTGGCTGCTCTTCCAGAGGACCAGGGTTCAATTCCCAGCACCCGCATGGCAGCTCACAACTGTCTGTAACTCCAGTTCCAGAGGATCAGACACCTTCACATAGATGTATATGCAGACAAAATGCCACATCAAAAAATCTTGCTGGGCGTTGGTGGCGCACGCCTTTAATCCCAGCACTTGGGAGGCAGAGGCAGGCGGATCACTGTGAGTTCGAGACCAGCCTGGTCTACCAAGCGAGTTCCAGGACAACCTCCAAAGCCACAGGGAAACCCTGTCTCAAAAAACCAAAAACAAACAAACAAACAAACAAATAAATAAATAAATAAATAAATAAATCTTAGCTGGGCAATGGTGGTTCATGTCTTTAATCCCAGCACTCAGGAGGCAGAGGCAGGTGAATCTCTGTGAGTTCGAGGCCGGCCTGGTCTACAAAGCTACACAGGGAAACCCTGTCTCAAAATAAATAAATAAATAAATCTTTTTAAAAAAAATGTCAACCAGGGATATGGTTTTGTGTATGTGTGTGCGCGCACTTAAAAGCTCACTTGAAGCTACACTGGGATTTCAAACATCCAGTGTAGTCACCAGCTGGCTAATAAAGCTATTCCATTGACTTAAACTAGCATCTGAGTAGTCTTCTTTCCTTCCTTCCTTCCTTCCTTCCTTCCTTCCTTCCTTCCTTCCTTCCTTTCTTCCTTCTTTCTTTTGTTGTGGGATAATCTTTTTGTACACTGTGAAAATGTATCTTTGTCAAGGTGCCCTCTGATTGGTTTAATAAAGAATTGAACAGCCAACAGGTAGGCAGGGGAACATAAGCAGGATTTCCAAGAAGACAGAGGAGCTCGGGACGACTCTAGGCACGTGAGAGATACCCGCAAGACACTGAAGAAGCCGGACATCGGGTACAGAGGAGAGGTGAGCCACATGGCAAAATGTAGATTAATAGGAAGATTAATTACAAGAGCTAGTTGAGGAAAAGCGTACGCTAAGGCCAGGCTTTCATAATTAATAATAGGTCTCTGTATTGACAAGTCCAACTTCTTTCCTTCCTCCCTCCCTCCTCTCTCTCTCTCTCTCTCTCTCTCTCTCTCTCTTTCCTTAATGGGATTTCTCTCTGTAGTCCTGACTATCCTGGGACTCATGTAAACCAGGTTGTCCTAGAACTCACACAGGCCTCCTATTTCCGCCTCTCCGGTGCTGGAATTAAAGGCACGCTCCACCACACCGACTGAAACTCGCTCTCTTGAGCTCCATGACCACTTCCCTGTCCTCTGGTTTCTTTCACAGCAGAGCCTTCCCCTCCTAGAAAGGGTTCCATAGTGTGTCTACACAGTGTCTGTCACATCTGCCTAACTTTGTTCGTCTAGGGAGAGAAGAGTAGTCAGTGGCTCCTAACAGCACAATATGCAGCAGCCCTACTTTCCAGACCACTGACTACCCCAGACTTCTGCTGGCTGTGGTCAGCGGAGGAGGCAAGAGGCCTTCCTTACTCTTGGCAGGTGTATCTTGGGGTCTCCAGAACAAAAGTGAGTTCGAGGCCAGCCTGGTCTACAGAGCGAGTGCCAGGACAGCCTCCAAAACTACACAGAGAAACCCTGTCTCGAAAAAAAAACCAAAAAAAAAAAAAAAAAGAAACAACTGCTAAAAAAATTCCTTTGTCACCCAGTCGACCACAGATATTAGAAAAAGTTATGCAAGTTTAAAAAGTTTAGAAATATAAATAGTTGCTGGAAGTAGTTCAAAAGGTGTTTAACAACAGAAAACCAATTGAGAGACTAGAGATTTTACATAAAATGAAAACCACTGTTACCTTCTCTGCCTTCTCTGATGATGACATGCAGTTAGTGTCTTGCCCTCTGTGAGAATTTGCCTAGCTGAAAGTCCTGCCCCCAATCAAAAGATACTCTTGGACTATCCCAGGGAGTGGGCAGAAACCACCACTACCCCAGCCACCCCAGGACTGGCCCAACACTAAGTTTCTATAATTTTTCAGCTAACCAGTTCAGCAACTTCCATTCAGATTGAACAATGTTCAATGACCCTGGAAACAAAAAGGGAAGTTGCAGTCCGTATTGCCTAACTTGGAGAGACAGGAATCCTGGTGCCCCGCCAGTCACCCTGGAATGCACCTCTCTTGTCTGTGGAGAAGCCTGGCACTTCTGATTCTCATGAGTCTGATTCTTTTAGAGAAACAGGTGTACACTGTCTTGGACCTGACAGATGCATTCTTCAGCCTCCCATTGGCAGAGGTGATTCAACTCATCTTTGTTTTTTAAATGGCTAGACAAAGAGGGATGTTGTAGGGGGGAACTTATCTGGACCAGGTTGGCCCAAAGATTTAAAAATGCTCCAACCCCTGTTTGATCATATACTAAATGCTGACCTCCATTTCTTCCATCAAAGGTTTCTTGGGATCACACTCTTACAATATGTAAATGGCCTCCTCCTAACCTCTGAAACTAAAATAAATTGTAAAAGGGCCACTGAGGGACTGCTTCAAGAGATACAAATGGTGACTAAGAAAGTCCAACTTGCTAGGCAGTGATAGAGCATTCCTTTAATCCCAAGATTCAGGAGGCAGGGGCAAGTGGATCTTTGAGTTTGAGGCCAGCCTGGTTTGCAGAATGAGTTCCAGGATAGCTGGGGCTACATGGAGAAAACCTGTCTCCAAAAAAAAAAAAAAAAGCCCAACTTTGTACATTAGAGGCTGCCTGTATTAGCCTCAATAGCCTCAACTGAGGGGAGGCCTCAGAATAGGATTGCTGCCATCCTTCAGATCGTAACTCCAAAGACTAAGAGGCAGGTTTGAGAATTTCTAGGTGCAGCTAAGTATTACTGCCTCTGAATATCAGACTTCATGGAAGCAGCAAGACCTCTATACACCAGTATGATGGGGGACACTGAGCCCCTAATCTGGATTGAGACTAAACAAAAGGCATTTGTGGCTTTAAAAAACAGCTCTGACTTGGGCTCCAGCCCTAGCACGTCTAGATATCTCAAAACCTTTGCATCTGTTTGTCCACAAAAGACATCACAAAAGGGGTTTTCACCCAAAATGTGAGGTCATGATAATGCCATGTGATGTACATGTCCACATGATTGATCCCTGTAACCACAGGATGGCCCACTTGTGGCAGCTAATGCTAATCTAATGAAAAGAAGACATTTTAAAAAAGCCTAATGAAATTCTCGTTAGAGTCCAGTGAAGGGTGGGTAGGCCCCCCTTCCTTTGATCTGCTCTGCTCTGCTTTGGGTCCCCTACACTGAATACAGAGAGGGATTTATCCCCATGAGAACATGTTTACAAGACCTCCCTCACTTCTTCCTCAACTCAGAGACTAGCACTTGACAAAACTCTCTAACCATTCATTTCCCAGGTCACCACAGGCCCTCCAGCTCTCCGTAAAGGCTATTTATTGGACCATCTGAGAGACTCAGCCAACCTCCAAGTCCACCACCAGCTTCCTCTTGTTCGAGACTGATGATACCATCTGGGTTAAGTGCGTAGTCAAAGGGGCACAATTAATAAATATCATGTTTGACCAGGGGAGACCTTCTGAAGATCTTGGCTATAGACATGGAAAAAAAAAAAAAGGAGGGGACTAAGAAAGGCTACAGGACAGGTCATATGTATGCTGGTCCCTCTACAGGGAACAGATCTAAGACTGGATAAAATGTGATGAAGCTTGTTGTTTACAGAATCTTCATGACTTACTATATTACAGTTTGGATATACCTTCCAAATTAAGTTGATAGACGCCTTATACCTATGCAAACATAGTACAAAAATTATCTAAATTTAGCTGACTTGTGCACACTGCATGTTCCATACTTATGCTAACCCAGATATGTATGTTACCTTAAAAATTTATGTGTTTTTCAGAAAAAAGGACCAGATGCCGATAATTACAAGTAGCTCAGGTGATATACCCTCTCATAATGCCTCTGTTACAGTTTCCTCGAAATTCTACATCAGAACAACTTCAAAGCTGCTAGTTGAGATGGTCCAGCCTTACAGACTACTTCATCCAAGATTTCAGATAAGCTCTACACTTTCCCGTCACACAGAAACTAAGCAAAAAAAAAAAAAAAAAAAAAAAAAAAGTACAGCTAGCTCTCCCAGGACTTGACCATTATCCCAATTTTCTCAGGGTTTCCTAAAAATGCCATTGCCCCCAGACAACAGGAAGCAGTCTAGAAGACATGATGCCCACATTTCTAAGAGGTAGGGATGTGTGGTTTTGGGAGTTAGGTGGATTATGGATGTTTGTCATTGTTTAGGGGAATTGGTTGCTAGTTGTTACTGCTTATGGTAAGAGAGAAAACTAAGCAAAGGAGATTAGATTCTAGAATCTCTTTCTGAAAAGAAAAAGGGAGATATGGAAAGATTAGGATGAAAGGGTTAGATTATTGATTCTGCTTTTAGGCTAAAAAGCAATTACTAGTCTTTAATATTTTATATTGGCATAGATTTTTGAATATTGATACAAATTTAAGGTTAATTTTGTTATACTGTATATGTGTTCCTATTCTTGTTTAAGGTATTGTACCTATGCAGCTCATTAAAAATGTACCATAAAGTTTTGGTCCTTGAAAACTATTTAGGATGATAAAGAAAGATAGGTTAGCAGCCATCTGTAACAAACTTATAGTCATGTTAGGTATGTTTTCAAGATCAAACAAATATATTTTAAATAGATAAGTTGTCTTCAAACATTTCAGAGACCTACAGAATACGGCATTTAAAATGTTTTAATAGCATAAGGTTTTTTTTCATGACAATGAGACACATCTGCTCCTGGCAATACCAATTTACTTTAAAAAAAAAAGATGATTGTCATTGAAGAACCTCCACATGGAGTTGCTTCCAATGTGGCAAAGCTAGCCATTTGGGCAAGAAACTGCTGACAGAATGTTGTCTTACCTGAACAAGCAAGACACAAAAGGAAGTGACTGCCAAACTTTGCCAGGACAAGGTAGGACAGTCCCTCAAAAATTCCTACTTCCCAGAAAAGTCTGTCAGGTATTCTAGGCCTGTAGATCAAAGATGGATGCCCCAGTGTTTCAGAGGAACCTTGAGTGACTGCCCAGGTAGCTAGCTGTTTCTGTCATTTCTATAGTTTTGAAAGTTGCTTGCTCTGTACTTCTTATTCACTCAGGTAGTATTATATTCTTCTCAGATCTCTGATGGCAGTTGTAGATTATATAGTTATACTGTTTCTTTTGTTACCAAATTAAAAAAAAAACTTGCAAAAGAGACGTAAAGTTTATAAAGGTTGAGAGACATAAATCTAATCTATCAGTCAAAACACTGAACCAGCTTCACTACTTCCCAGTAAGTAAATATCTCCTTCTCTTGAAAGCACAGGCAATAACCATGGCCTTTGGGTATTTTCAGTCTTAACAGTGTACCCCTCTCTAACCTGGGTTGACGATCCAAATATAGTTATTTTGCTTTTTTTTGTTTTTGAAAATTTACATGAGCCTTTGTTTTCTACTCTTTGGATAAAAGATCAAAAACCTGGAAATATCTGATCCCAGCCATAGCCACTAGTAACACATCTGGCAGAGCTAGCCAGGAGGTGAGAAATACATTCTTTCTCATCTTCCTCCTAAAAACTTTCCTATTAACTACTTCCTTGTCTGTTGGAGGTCTCTGGGGGCCCCCTGGGTCGAGGTCAGAGTAGGTAGAGTGTCTGTTCCCCAGTCCCACAGCCTCCCTGAAACCAGACACACAGACACAACAGGGAGTCGAGTCAAGCAGGATCTCATTTATTGTTTAACAGTAAAGCCCTCTTAAAGTGAAAAACCACAGGGTGGGAAAAGTATTACCCAGTAATTTTAAGGTATTCCTGTGATATATCTAGTGTCCTATACCCTCTTGTTCACGGTCTGCCAGTGTGATGACCTCATCTAGTGTGAGTTTGGGTAGCCAAATGTTTTTCTTAGTAAACTCCTGAAGCCTCGCCTCTGTAGCTTCCTCCCAGGGTGGAAGGAGAGACATTTGTTTTCAGAAGTTCTGCAGACCTTATTGCTGACCAAAGGAGCTAATGCAGGACGTGACCAGGAGATAAAGTTCCTAGAGTTGATTAAGGAGCTTCAGCCTTCTTTTCCTGAACAGAATCACAGTTAGGAAGAGCAATTCAGGGAGAATTAGAGGCAAGGGAACCAGAAAAAAAATTCCTACTGATGCTTCCAGCTTTCGAGAAAAACAAAACAGTAATAGATAAAAAGGACATGGCTAAAATTAAAAATGAAAGTGACCAGGCAAAAGCAGAACTAACTCTGGGTGTAGAAGGAAACTTAGACCCTGAAGCCATATTACCGAGTGTCTCCCTGAGGCCATATTACCGAGTGTCTCCCTGAAGCCAAGTTACCCAGTGTCTCCCTGAAGCCATATTATCCCTGTCTGTGAAGAGGCTGTGAGTTTTCCTCCTCTGCTGATTTTGCTACCCCAGCTCCAGCTTCACTTTCCTCTACCCCTGAAACCTGTCCATCCAGTACAGTTCTTGAGAGCATGGCAGCTTTTTCCCCTGCCCCACTTCATGTCTTACTGAGGTTATTAAAGAGGCTTCTTATCCCCCAATAAGAAAAGTAACTCCTTCTATGTCAAGGTACAGTTCCCAGGTGCAAGAGGTTCTGCACCATGCCTGGGAGACAGGAGAAGACATGAGAGGATTTTCTCTTTTCCTGGTGACTGAAACGCCCGACCTGAATAACCTAGAGCATGCCTCTATGGATGGGTGGTAAGAAATTTGGATAATGATGCTGATGCTTTGGTTCTTTCCTCCCACTGACCTCTTGAAGGCACACAAGAGGCTATATTCATTATGAAGCTGTTGGCCTTGCTTGTCTCTTACTGGCTAGCTCTGCTTTAAGTAATTACCCCATAATTGTTCATCTAAGTATGTCTCTTACCGGAGAATAGTTCTGGGCTCCTACCCCCATGGCGGTTACATGTTGACTCTCTTGTGTTTCCCCTTCCCAGAATCCTCCTCGACTCCTAGTCCCTCCTATCTAGGTTTTCTATTGGCCAGACAGTACTTTATTGACAAATGCACAGGCAAATAACAGGACTTCCCCAACAGGGACCCCTGGAAGGGGTCTTAAAAAAAGAAATAACTGAGCCTTTAAATCCCATTTCAAAATGTAGTAAAAATGGTTTGGGGTACTTTTCCTAGGGGCTGCTGAAAAGTATCATGCTGATCCTATAGCCTGGTTTTCTGAGGATCCTGTCTGGTGGATCAGTGGCCCCCTAGAAAAGAAAAGATAGTAGCAACCCAGGTGTTAGTCTTTTTTTGTTTGTTTGTTTTTGTTTTTCGAGACAGGTCTCTCTATAGCTTTGAAGACTGTCCTGGAACTAGATCTTGTAGACCAGGCTGGTCTCAAACTCACAGAGATCCACCTGTCTCTGCCTCCCAAGTGCTGGGATTAAAGATGTGTGCCACCACCGGCCAACTTCAGGTGTTAGTCTTAAGACAACCAAAAGCAGAACATATAGAAGAATCTAACAGTCCATGGAATTCTCCTATTTTTTTAAATTTTAAAATGGTCTGGAAAATATAATTTGCTACAGGAGCTACACTGAATAATCACCACCACGGGACCTTTACAACCAGAACTTCCAACACCTGTTACTGTTTCTAAGGAATGGCTTATTATAGTACTAGATTTAAAGAATTGTTTCTATACTGTATCTTTGCATCCTGGAGATTGTACAAAATTTGCTTTTAGTGTACCTTCCCTTATCTGGACCAATGAAAAGATATCACTGGAAACTTGTGCCTCAAGAAATGGCAAAGAGCCAACTTTATGCCAAAAATTTGTTGCTACTGCTTTAAAGAGAGCTCCAGAGTGGTTCCCTCCTGGTTTTATTATACATTATATGCTTTCTGCTAAAAATAATAAAATTCAAGGAGATTTACTTGCTGAAGTAAAAATTTGAATAGCCCATTATGGATTGATAATAGTCCCTAAAAAATTTCAACATACTACCCAGTCTTATATCTGGAAAATTTGATAAAGTCTTCAGTAATCATTCCTTAAAGGAATTTAAAAAGACATCTTAGAAACTCTAAATGATTTTCAAAAACTGCTAGGGTACTTGAATTGGGTTAGACATATGTTAAAAATTCCCTTTGCCGGGAGGTGGTGGCATATGCTTTTGATCCCAGCACTTGGGAGGAAGAGGCAGGAGGATCCCTGTGAATTTGAGGCCAGCCTGGTCTGCGAGCAAGTTGTAGGGCAGTCAAAGCTACACAGAGATGCCCTGTCTCAAAAAGGAAACAAACAAAAGACCCCACTTCACAGCTACAACCTTTATTTGCTATTCTTACGGGACTCTTGATCATTCATCTCCTAAAAATGGACTGAACTTGATTGTATAGCAACACATGTAAAAAATGTACTTAGGAATGCTCAACTTCAGCAAATTTCATATCCTCTACTGTTCCTACGCTGTTGGTCATCCCTTCCTCCAGCAGTCCTACGGGACTGATCTGGGATAAGGGGCCAATAGAATGGATATATCTCTCTATTAGTCCAAAAACCGTTGTCAATCCATATTGGTTTATAGTTGCTGAACTGGTTATTTCTGGGTAGTCTCAGAAAAAACACTTACTTGGTCAAGAGCCAAGAAAATTTTATCCCTTATGATAAAACACAGTTAAAATTTTTAATGAATACTTCAGATAATTTAGCATAGGCTTTTGCTGCATATCCCTTTCAAATTGATAATCATTTTCCTTCCAGTAAACTTACTGATTTTGCATAAAAATGCTATTTTATTTCCTAAAAGCACTATGCTTCAGCCAGTATTCTCTGCACAAGTAGTATTTCTAGATGCCACAAAAGATGGTGAGGGTGCCCTGGTTTCTGGAGATGCTTCGCTGATTTTTACCCACTCAGGTGCTTCTGTACAACAGATCGAATTATGCATGATTTACATTGCTTTACAACATCATCCCCAGCCTCTAAACTTATACTCTGATTCACAGTATACAGTCTCAGCAATGCAATGGTAGATTCTGAAGGTAACACAATGGTAGATTCCTTTCTAACACTGTCTCCTATTCTAGGAATTAACAACCAAAAATCCCAACTGAACAAACAAACAAACAAAAACCCATGAAAATTGCATGCATGCTTTTGTTAAAATGTTTCACCATAAATTTTCTTTTCACTGTTAAAGAGCAAGTTCATGTGATAGTTAAGAAATGTCCTTATTGCATGACATGCCTCTATCCTCTTGTGACGTGACTCCCTGAAGATTATTGCCAAATCATATTTGGCACATGGATGTTTTCCATGCTCCTAGCTTTAGGAGACTGAAATATGTTCACATGAATGTGGATATTTATTCATTGCTCATTTTTACTGCTCCCCTATCAGAAAAAGCAATTAAGGGTGTTATTACCTTTTTACTCAGAACTTTTTCTCTTTTAAAAGGCTCCTACAAGCTGGGCAGTGGTAGCACACGCCTTTAATTCCAGCACTCAGGATGCAGAGGCAAGCAGATGTCTGTGAGTTCGTGGCCAGTCTGGTTTACAGAGAGAGTTCCAGGACAGTCAGGGCTACACAGAAAAACCTTGTCTTGACAAACAAAACAAAGCAAAACAAAACAAAACGGCTCCTACAAAATATTAAAAACTGACAATACTCCTACGTACATTGCCAAGCCTTTTCAGAAATGTTGCCAGCAGTTTGATATAACCTACACCACAGGCATTCTGTATAACCCTCGGGATCAATATTTTATGAAAAGAGCTAGTGATCAGCTTAATTGTTACTTCAAAGTATAAGAGGGGGAGAAGGTAATATGGCTATTCCTCACAATATTTTATCTTCTATTATATGGACTTTAAATTTTTAAAGTTTAGACAAGGATGGCCTCACTGCAGCAGGACTTTTTTTGGAGGGGGTCTCTCTGAGAAAATTCAAGGTCACGACCATTTGGAGAGATGCCACATCAGTGGACAGCTGGATCCAGTAGTTCCCTGGAGCCCAAGCCTATGTTTGTGTTTTTCCTCAGGGTGCTGAAAAGCCATTGTGGATACCTGGAAGAGTCACTGGCTTGTGGAAGATGGATGAAGAACTTCCGAAGCATCTGCAGAAGCTACACCTAAAGAAAAGGAAGAGAAGGGAGAGGCAGAGTTGCTGAACCATGAAGAACTGAGTCTGCCTACCAACAATGAAGAAGCGACTAATGGGAAAGACTTAGTGAAATCTTGGGGGAAGGGTGTGAATGCAGAATTGCTGCTCCTTGATGTCTCTGTTGACCATATCTGTTACCAAGGAGACATACTGGGCTTATGTATGTACCTAATCCTCCCATGTTTCACTTTGTCAACCCGGGAGAGAACAACATTCCTGTCAATGACCCTGAGAACTTGGATGCCCTCCTCACTGCTAATTCTGCTGTTCTCCAGGCTCAAAAGGTTAACTTCACGGGTCAGTATTGATCGGGGTGGAGGAATGACTGCTATATTGCAGTAAAAACTGGGGACAGAGAGAGATGGTCTCAAAATAGCAGTCTTAACTATAATGGCGTCCTTCAAGTAGCTATCATCTATGAAGGACAGGAAGGTGGTCTGAGATCTAGGTCTGTGACACCCCCCCCACCCTCCCACCCCCCCACCCACCCCCCCACCCACCCCCCCACCCCCCCCCGTGTATAGGCATGCACAAGCCTGTATCAAGACCCCTCAGGTTACCAAGGGGCCAGGAAAATCCAAAAGAAGGGGACTTCAATCCTGACCCTAGCATTGTGTGTAATTCACTTGAGGTTCACACATCCCTAGGGGAGAATCCTTCACCATCATCCTCCTGAACACATCACCAGATACCTGCGGCCCAGCTCAGTGATCTCTGTGATTACTGTGTTACCTGTTGGGAGCCACAGCTCATCTTAAGCTATCTGTGGCCCTCTCAATACCATTTGTTGCCCATTTCTGGCTCAACCTAACATTTCTGTGACTATTAGATAAGTCTGTCATGTTCACAGGTGTTGGCAAGTCTAACACATTATCAAAACTACCCTCTAGGGAACAGAGTCAGCTGGAATTATTTTTTTTGATAAAAGACAAAGAACCTGGAAATATCTAGTCTGGACCCCAGTCACCAGTAACATGTCTAGGAATCCATGTGCCTTGCCTTCTGACTTCTCTTTTCTAGCTGCAAAAGCAGCAGAGGCCAGAGGGGGGCCCTTTTCTCATCAAGTCCCTCTGTCCCCTACCTCTGTCTTTATACACCAAACCAGAGACTATGAAGAGAAGTACACTCAGAAGTCACCCAGTGGAATAAGGGTAAATTATTCACTGAACACATGAGGATGACTTGGAGACAAAGTTGATGTTTAAAACCCAAACCAAATAATTAGGTTTTTTTATTGTTTGAGACAGGGTCTCACATAGCCCAGTCTGACTTGAACTCACTACATAGTGGAAGAGAGACGACTTTGAACTTCCAGTCCCCATGTCTCCACCTTCAAGAACTGGGATTATGGATATGCACTATCATGCCAGGCATTCATTTTTTATCAACATAATTTTTATTGATTCTTTGAGAATTTTACATCATACACCCCAGTCCCAACCATTTCCCAGTTCTATCATGTCCCCCCATCCTTGTAGCCTCCCCACAAAAGAAAACAATAACAATAGTTGATGGGGACGTCCTGTGTATATGTCAATAAAGCACTGTTGGCCAATAGGGAGGCAAGATAGGTGGGACTAGGAGTTGAGGAGGATTCTGGGAAAGAGAGACACAGGCAGACATCATGTAGCCACCATAGAAGTAAGAGGTCCAGACCCTTTCTCCAGTAAGAGAAATACTTAGATTAACAATTATGGCTTAAATACTTAAGTCAGAGCTAGCCAGTAAGAAACAAGCTTAATAATTCATATAGCCTCCTGTGTATTCGTTTGGGACTGATGTGGCTCTGGAGTCAGGATGGCAGGAAGGCTGCACCCAACAAATAGTGAAACAAATAAACAAACCACTTCACTCCTCCATCCTTCTCTCCTCTCTATCACATATCCATGTGTTGTAGTGGCCTTGGAATTGCAGTATGTCACAAAGTGATACAACCTTTTGCTCAAATAGCTTTACTTGCAATTGTTCATTAAAATGAGTTGTTGGTCTGGTTCAGAGCCCCTGGATTCTGGTATACCATCAACACTGGACCCTCACTGAAACTTCACTTGGATATCCTGCTGTTGCCCTGGGTCATGGAAATCCTGCAGCTCCTGAGCAAGACATACAATAAAAGAAAATACATTTTAAAAACAATATTCATTTTACATCTTTTAGTTTCATTGACTTTCAAATATGCAACATGAGTTCATAGTAATGGGCTATCATCTTGGTGATAGTGTGCTTAGTAATAATGTGTTCAATGTCAGCACACATGCACACACACAGAGACAAGAAAAGAAATTATTACATGACGAGTCTTTCCAAATTGAAAATTTCCAAACTCTTTCCTGGTCCCAGGGAACTTTGAAGAATAGTACTGCTTTCATCCCTTCATAGGCCTTACTGGGAGCAGAGGCTAGTAGAAGGTAGTGTCTTACAGTTAGGGTTTCTACTGCTGTAACAAATACTATGTCCAAAAGCAACTTCGGGAGGGAAGGGTCCAGTTGCTTTATAGGTCACAGTCCATCATTGAGGAACCCTAAGGTAGGCACTCAAAGCAGGAACCTGGAGGTAGGAACTGAAGAGAGACCATGGAGGAGTGCTGTTTATGGACTTGCTCCCCCCATTCCCAACCCCCCTCACTCAGTTTGCTTTCTTATTACATTCCTAAGCCACCTGCCCAGGGATGGCACTGTCCACTGTGGGCTGGGCCCTTCCAAATCAGTTAAAAATCAAGAAAATGCCCTGAGGGCTTGACTCCAGGCATTGTGTTGGAGGCCTTTTTCTCAACTGAGGGTTTGTTTTAAGCTGACAAAACCAGCACAAGTAGCACAGGACTTTATCTTCTCTCTGAGTACTTATCTGGGGCCTTCCTTATACAAATTACATTGTCTTTGGGTCTAATTTTCCCCACCTATGAAATAGGCAGTGTTATGGACATGTCATTCATGAATGATTAAGTGTTTTGAACAAAATTGTTGTTTACAGTTTAACTTGGGGTGAGAGAGATTTTGCTTACAAGTTACTCTGGTGCTTCTAAAACAGTCCGGACACTGTAATTACATGAGAACGTTGAAGTTCTCCTGATTCCTGGTTCCAGGATTCTGATCTACTGATGGGGAGTGTGGCCTTGGGTGTGGCCTTGTTAGCTGTTCCCCAGATGATTCAGTCACACTGCAAAGGCTGAGACCCAGGAAGCTCTGCACAGGCCTCCTGTGTCATGGCACCCTGGACACACATGGGTCTTCGTAGACCCTGACACACATGGGTCTTCGTAGACCCCATGCTTTTGATTCTAAGAAGCAAGGGCTTCAGGAAAAACCACATTACGAATTCCAGCTAGAGCAGAACACCAAGCTAAGAGGAAGCCTGGACTTTGACCTAAACAAAGTGGCAACACCATGCCATTGCAGCACAGGGCTCCTGCCCACTATTATAAATTGAGGAAATGTAAATTGGTGTTGCTTCATTTAACACAACTCAGGTGAAGCTTGGGAACCTTAGACTCTTTTGTTCTAAAGCAAACAAAGTCTTTAGCTTCAATATAATTCCTTCTGTTTCCTCAATAATTGTGTTAACTGGAGAGTAGAAATTAATCTGAAATTTTTCTAGAAGAAATAGTCAGAGGCCAGGTGTGGAACTAGGAACAGGAAGAGAGAGGCCAAGCCACGTAGAGATGTGGGTGACAAACTACTTTGGGTGTGTGTTTTTTTTTCTTTTTTTCTTTTTGGTTTTATCTTTGCCTTAAGAGAATCTTGGTCCCTGGCTATGCAACCCCTCTCTTCCAGCTCCTTTCTAATTTTTTTTTTGAGATAGGCTTTCTCTGTGCAGCCCTGGCTGTGCTGGAACTTCCAGTGTAGACCAGGCTGGCCTTGAACTCTGCCTCCTGAGTGCTGGGATTAAAGTCTTGTGCCACCACTGCCCAGCCCTTCTTACATTCCTGAATAGATTTTATGTCCATTATAACTGCACTAACACTAGAGAAAGATGAGTATTGTTCTCCAAAAATTCAAAGAAATAAAAGCAGAGAAATGAATCACAGTATAAAGGAAAGAACATAATGGTTTAAATCTTTTTTGTTCTTTACCCCTATCCCTATTAAGGAAACATGGGCAAATATTTAAAGAGCACAATGGTTTTAATTTTTTAAAAATTTGTATCTTCCTGTCTGTTTAGAGAATATGAGTTTCTATTTAAAGTCTGTTGGCTTGAAAAAATACAAGGTATTAGGCTGCTTAGGCATGCATATGTCATTTCTTCACTGGGCAGAAAAAGAAACACAGAAGGGGGGAAGTTAGAGTTCTCAGAATGCTGACAGCAGTTGTGGTTGGGCCCTGGTATGTGGGGCTGGGCATAGAGTTCAGTACCACAGTGACTGTCTAGCAGGCAGGCGGCATCAGGCTCCATCTGCAGCACCAACGGTAGGGGTGAGGGTGGGGCATGGGACCAGTATCAAACTGTGGCATTTGTCATTCTTCAAGAGATAAATTAAAGCCCAGACTGCTGACCCCAGAGTTTCTGACTGAGTAGGTGAAGCCTGGCTCTCCCCATTGATTCCATCTACCTGTGTGGGAACGCCCCCCCAATTTTGAGAACACTAACTCACAAGTGCTCTCATGGAAATAATTTCCTAATGCGGTATTTATCATCCTATGCTTTCTGAAACATTTAAAATATTACAGGAAAAGTTCACCGTGGTTAAATGTGTTCTGAGAATACTGAATTGAAAAAAGTTACTGAAGGAAAATACTTTTGAGAAATCAAAGTACTTTGCTCTCTCTACACACAAAACTTACTGTCAGCCCTGAAGTGACCTTTGATCCTGGGATTAAATTCTTACCCAGAAAGATGATATGGAAAAGAATCCTATTGTATGTTGCAAGAATGCTCTGAACATCCACTAAACACCAGGCTACCCAGTTTACCCTCGTTGAATAAATGCCATTTTCCCAGAAAATAAATACCAACAAAAGACTGTTTTCTCCCCAACACTGCTTACTACCTCACCCCGCTCTGCCAACTGACAGTAGCTCTTAGGTCACATTACTTGCAAAGTTCTCATTTATTTGGGGTCACACAGCTGTAGGCTCTCCTCTTTGGATGAACAAGGGAAATGGGCTCTGTATTGGTGACCTTGAGGTAGGTGGACTTTGGAGCACTTCTGGGCAAGTTCATCTGCAGGTAGAACTAGGAAACGGAGAGCACACTGAGGGTGACTTAGGGCACAGGAACTCTCCCATGCCTCCTTGCTTCTGAAGCAATTGCTGCTGTAGCATGCCAACCATGCTTTTTATTCCACTAGGAATCTATGGTTACAAAACCCTTCATAGGCTTCACAACAAGCGAGGAAGACTGGGGCTGCCACCAAAGGATGGAAAAGTAAGGACTTGCTAAGAGTCACAGCTACTAGAAAATACAACGGCAAAACCTGACCTTTAAAGCCACCACTCAGCTCCCTGTCTGGCCAAGAAAAAGGTAATACCTGCCCAGACATTGGCCAGTTCTAAATTTAGTAGTCCAAATCTTTACTACATAACTGAAATGTAGAGTCCCGTACACTCAGGGCTACTCTTGGTATAGTTTATTCTGTTTCAAGTGGAATTGGTTTGTTTTTCTGGTAGGTTTCTGATAATACTTTGATTAGAAGTTCCTGAAAGATGGGAATGTCTTCAGTCACTCAAATTGGGGACTGGACATCACAGCAATAGATGACCAGCAATAGACGTCCAACAGAAAGCAAAATCTCTCTCTCTCTCTGTCTGTGTGTGTGTGTGTGTGTGTATAAAGGTATATATATATATGCATATGTACATATTATATTGTTTAACATATATTATATTATATATGTAATGTAATATAATATATTATAATGTTTTACCTGGACATTTATTTATTTTTACTTTATAACCTTTGCTTAGATATTATGGTTCCCAATTTTATTTTTATGGGTTTTCTGTGTGTGCAAATACGTGTATCAGTTTCTGGTGCTATGTTCTTTGGTCTTTTTTTTTTAATCTATTTGATCCTATTCTGTTTGTTTTATTTCTTCTCCTCCTCCTCCCCCTTCTTCTTCTTCTTCTCCTTCTTCTATGTATGTTTGTATCTTAATGAAAGAGAACCCTGGATGAAATGACAGACTTTAGAGATCTCCACAAGGAGGGCCTCACCCTCTCTGGGGAATGATGTGGGGATTGGTTGGGCGGCTGGGGGGGCTGGTGGAGGGACAAGGGAGGAAGGGTGGGAGAGGGAGCTGGGACTGACATGTGAAGCATTCATGTTTCTAATTTAAATACAATCATACATTGAGAAAAAAGAAAGAGAAGCAAAGGGTGTGGATTTGGGTGGGTGGGAAGTGGGGAGGATCCGGGAGAAGTTGGGAGAAGGGAAACTTATCGTAATATATTGTATAGAAAAATCTATTTACTATAAAATTAATTACTTAATTTTTAAAAGGAGCTGGTGGGATGGCTCAGCAGGTAAAGGCACTTTCCTCAAAGCCTGATGAGCTCCATGCTCCTTGGTAGGAGGTGAGAATCAGCTCCATATGCATGCGTGGTGTACACACTCCCTCACACACATACATGAATAATTTTTAAAGAGATTTATTCATTATGTATAGTGTTTTGCCTGCATGTATGTCTTCAGACCAGAAGAGGACACCAGATCTCATTATGGATGGTTATGCGGTTGCTGGGAATTGAACTCAGGACCTCTGGAAGAGCAGATAGTGTTCTTAACTGCTGAGCCATTTCTCCAGAACCATAAATAATCTTTAAAGGAAAAAAATAATCCTAAAGAAACACCTTTTTGACATTGGACTTGATGATGAGAAGCACACACAAGTAAAGGAAAATGGGCTGTGAGTGGAACTTAGTGGCAGACTGCATCCTAGATCCGTGCACAGGCCCTGGGTTTGACCCCAACATTACAGGGAAAACAGATATGTACACCACACCTTGAATTCCTGTATGCAGGAGGCAGAGGCAGCTCCCAGGGACACTTAGCTGCTTTGCAGCTTGGCTTGGCAACCACTCAGCTATCTCTGCTGCTTTCAAAGCAGATGACAGTCCCCGTAGTTTCCCGGCTTCTGAGCTGGGACTCTTCCCATAACTTTGCCTCTTCTGTGGCCATCAAAATGGCTGACCTAGCCAGCC